TTAAAAAGTTTGTCAGGAATATCCTAACATACTTCTTTTATTTTGAAATTATCCTCAACTTCAGCTTCATCTCAAATTACTGCCCTCATCCTTCTAATCAATCATTTTAACCTCTGTGATCCCAGTACATACCTAAATTATATCTTATATTTATTCATCCATTTATTTACCTATTTGACAATATATACTGAGTTGCCTAATATGTGCCAGGCACTACTCTAAGGCTAGGGCTACCAGGGTAAATTAGGCTGACATGGAATTTTTCTTTTCAAATTTTTATTTAAATTCTATTTAGTTAACATACAGTTCAATATTGGTTTCAGGAGTAGAACTCAGTGATTCATCATTTACATACAACACCCAGTGCTCATCATATCAAGTGCCCTCCTTAATATCCATCACCCATCTAGCCCATCCCCAACCCTCGTCCCTCAATCAACCTTCAGTTTGTTCTCTGTCTTTAAGAGTCTCTTATGGTGTGTTTCCCTCTCTTTTTTCCTTGCCCCTCTCATATGTTCAAGTTTTGTTTCTTAAATTCCACATGAGTGAAATCCTATGGTATTTGTCCTTCTCTGACTAACTTATTTCACTTAGCACAATACTCTAGCTCCATCCATGTCATTGCAAATGGCAAGCTTTCATTCTTTCTGATGGCTAATATTCCATTGTGTGTGTGTGTGTGTGTGTGTGTATATATATATATATATATATATATATATACACCACATCTTCTTTAACCATTCATCAGTCAATGGACATTTGGGCTCTCTCCATATTTGGCTATTGTTGATAATGCTGCCATAAACATTGGGTTGCATGTGCCCCTTCGAATCTGTATTTCTGTATCCTTTGGGTAAATATCTTGTAGTGCAATTGCTGGGTCATAGGGTAGTTCTATTTTTAACTTTTTGGGGAACCTCCATGCTATTTTCCAGAGTGGCTGCACCAGCTTGCATTCCCACCAACAGTGTAGGAGGGTTCCCCTCTCCGCATTCTTGCCAACACCTGTTGTTTCTTGTGTTGTTAATTTTAGCATTTCTGGCAGGTGCAAGGCGGTATCTCATTGTGAATTTGTATTTCCCTGATCATGAATGACGTTGAGCATCTTTTCATGTGTCTATTAGCCATCTGTATGTCTTCTTTGGGAAAGTGTCTATTCATGTCTTCTGTCCATTTCTTAACTGGATTATTTGTTTTTTGGATGTTGAGTTTGATAAGTTCTCTATAGATTTTGGATACTAACCCTTTATCTGATATGTCATTTGCAAATATCTTTTCCCATTCCGTAGGCTGCCTTTTAGTTTTGTTGATTATTTCCTTTGCTGTGCAGAAGCTTTTTATCTTTTTTTATTATATTTTATTTTGTTATGTTAATCACCATACATTACATCATTAGTTTTTGATGTAGTGTTCCATGATTCATTGTTTGCGTTTAACACCCAGTGCTCCATTCAGTACGTGCCCTCTTTAAAACCCATCACCAGGCTAACCCATCCCCCCACCCTCTCCCCTCTAGAACTCTCAGTTTGTTTCTCAGAGTCCATAGTCTCTCATGGTTAGTCTCCCCCTCCGATTTTCATCTTGATGAAGTCCCAATAGTTCATTTTTGCTTTCGTTTTCCTTGCCTCCAGAGACGTGTCTAGTAAGAAGTTGCTACAACCAAGGTCAAAAAGGTTGCTGCCTGGGGCGCCTGGGTGGCTCAGTCATTAAGCGTCTGCCTTTAGCTCGGGTCATGATCCCAGGGTCCTGGGATCGAGCCCCATGTCTGGCTCTCTGCTCAGCGGAGAGCCTGCTTCTCCCTCTCCCTCTGCCTGCCTCTGTGCCTACTTGTGCTCTCTCTCTGTCAAATAAATAAATAAAATTAAAAAAAAAAAGGTTGCTGCCTGTGTTCTCCCTTAGGATTTTGATGGTTTCCTGTCTCACATTTAGGTCTTTCATCCATTTTGAATTTATTTTTGTGTATGGTGTAAAAAACTGGTCCAGTTTCATTCTTCTGCATGTCACTGTCCAGTTTTCCCAACACCATTTGTTGAAGAGACTTTCTTTTTTCCATTGGATATTCTTTCCTGCTTTGTTGAATATTAGTCGACCATATAGTTGTGGGTCCATTCTGGGTTCTCTATTGTGTTCCATTGATCTGTGTCTGTTTTTGTGCCAGTACCATACTGTCTTGATGCTGATAGCTTTGTAATACAGCTTGAAATCTGGAATTGTGATGCCTCTAGTTTTGTTTTTCTTTTTCAGGATTGCTTTGGCTTTTTAGGGTCTTTTGTGGTTCTGTACAAATTTTAGGATTGTTTGTTCTAGCTCTGTGAAAAACGCTGGTGATATTTTGATAGGGATTGCATTAAATGTGCAGATTGCTTTGGGTAGTATAGACATTTTAACAATGATTGTTCTTCCAATCCATGAGCATGGAATGTTTTTCCATTTCTTTGTGTCCTCTTCAATTTCTTTCATAAGTGTTCTATAGTTTATAGAGTACAAGATCTCTTTGGTTAGGTTTATTCCTAGGTTATCTTATTGTTTTTGGTGCAATTGCAAATGGGATCAATGCCCTGATTTCTTTTTCTGCTGCTTCGTTATTGGTGTACAGAAATGCAACAGATTTCTGCACATTTATTTTATATCCTCTGACTTTGAATTCATGTATTACTTCTGGCAATTTTTTGGTGGAATCTTTTGGGTTGTCTACATAGAGTATCACGTTGTCTGCAAGTAGCCAAAGTTTGACTTCTTCCTTGCCGATTTTTGTGCCTTTTATTTCTTTTTGTTGTCTGACTGCTGAGGCTAAGACTTCCAGTACTACGTTAAATAGTAATGGTGAGAGTGGACATCCTTGTCTTGTTCCTGACCATAGGGGAAAGGCTCTCAGTTTTTCCCCATTGAGGATGATATTAGCTGTGGGTCTTTCATATATATGGCCTTTATGATGTTGAGGTTTGTTTCAACTATCCCTACTTTGTTGAGGGTTTTTATCAAGAATGGATGCTGTGTTTTGACATGGAACTTTAATGTTAGTACTCATCATAGTCTAACTTGTATTTTACTAGTTATTTAAATGCCATTTCTTCCATCAATTTGTGAAATGATGAAGTCAAGGTCCACACTTCTTAAAAAAAAAATCTTTGCCCACAGTGAGCACCTACCACATTATCTTTAGAATGGCAGCAACTGGTTTTAAGATCTACTTTGTCATTTACAGACATTGTGAACTTGAATAAAGCACTTACTTCTCTGATTCTCTTTTCTCATATGAGAAATAGAGATACCTGTCTTATATAAAATTTTTTTAAAATGAAATTTTTTGAACTGTAAAGATCTAAAAACACCTACTAAATAATAACAACAATAATAACAACAGTAATAGTAGTAACTGATGTTTCTACTTCTAGTAAACTGAATTATAGCTGGGCCATTTGTTTGCCTTCATGAACAGGGAGTAACTGTTCACTGACCAAAGAAACTAATACAAAATATTAAGCAACAAAACTACACAGTCCTTCATTAGCATAAATACAGATTGAGATTTATTTTTTGCAGTGGTATCTCACTAGCTGATGGTCTACACTTATTTTCCCAGTTAGGTTTAGATGTATCTTCCACGTCACCCAGTCTGATGTATCATTCAGGGTTCAATCAGAGAAAGAGAACCACTAGGAGGTAATTATATACATAAAGGAATTTGTTACAGGGATTTGACCATATGCAATCGTGGGACCTGGTTAAATGGTCTTTGCATATGATGATGTAGTTTGAAGACCACAGGGAAGGCAGCTTAGAAGGGAGGACAGATATAAAGTACAGGACAGTAAGAACAAGCTGACATCCAAGAGCACAAACTATAACCCACAAGGATGAACTCATTTCAGTTCTCACTGCCTCCAACCTGGATGAAATGGGTATCCTTCAGGAGATGCTGGTGTCCTTCATCATGGAGCTAACCATATCCTTCACGCAGGCGTAAGAGCAGCCAAAAAGGACAAAGGGCAAGGTGGAGCAGTTGCAGCTCATCTGCTATTCCATGCCAACTAGGTGAGCCAGTAAACAAGCAATATGTATGAAAGAAAGTGCCTGCCCCAATAGTCCTGGTGTTTAAAAAAAAAAAAAAAAAGGCTGCTGCTTCACTTTTATCCTCCAAATCTCATGCCAAATTGTCTCTTGTGGCCACTTCAACTGGAAACATTCAGAGAGGGAAATTCTGGGAAACACAGTTTATCCTAGCCAAGCTGACAATGTTACAAAACTTACTGCAGCCTGTCCTTTGTCAGCTTGGCACCCATACACTTCTCTTTAAACAATATTTAATTCCCAAATGGAGACAATAACAAAGTTATGCTTTTGCCTAACATGGTATAACTATCCTGTATACAATAAACATGCTAACCCTTTCCCAATAAGAGGATACAAAGTCCCTTTTTTGTCTTTGAATGATATTTATTGTTTTCCAGACTGATTCACACTCCCCTTTGGTATCCTGTAACTTTAATATGGAGATATAAAATTAACTATTATTAACATGCCTTATATTAGATGGTAGAGATATGAGACAGTGGAAAAAGTATATACAAACTGGTTTATATAAACAAATAGTCACATAAAAAAGGGAAATGGGTATTTATATCATCACTACTACAGCACTCATTTCTGTAACTGGTAACTTGGTCATAGCCGGTATTTATCAAGCCTGCTGTTTGAGGATGATAGAAAACATGGAAAGACCAGTGAAATCATGAGCACGGGCTCACTGCCAGACTTGATTTACTGTGAAGTGAGTTCATTAGTCACAAATGATGCTGTATGAAATACCATGATTGTGAAAAATGCAATCTGTAAGTCCATGGATAGTGGTTTTAGCAGAAACACTGGGGGCAAGGAAGGCAAATCTATATCCAGAGCAAATGGATAGATTTTTATATAAGACAGCAAGTATTTGCTGTATATGCAAGTATATGTCCTGTACTTTACCTTTATCTTCACTGAGAACACAGCACTCTTTTCCAAGTAAATGCTGGTCATTTTGGGAAATGTTGCCATAGAGAAGTTTCAGCATTGTATCCAAATCTACTTTAGTGAGTGGAAGGAAATTCATGTTGATACCATAGCACAACCTCCATCTGTGGCACCTCTCTCCTTTTGTTCATGAACCAAAATATACTTCCTAGTAGTTCTGCATCTCTGAACCCTAACTAATGAATCTGGTACAGGGGAACAGTATCTTAAGGACAGGTTCTCAACTGGTTCTGGGTTATCTGGAATTGGTTATCTCATCTTGCTTTTATACATTTATATTTAAAACACTGAAAGTACCTATAAAATAAACTTTTTGATGACAAACACAAACAAGGGCATTCGGATTATACTTACTAAAGACTGAATCAACATATTAAGACAACTTTTCTGAATCTCAGAAGGTACATTTGCAAAACTTCTCTCAGACCAAAACCTTGCAAAATGCTTTACAATCCACCTGTTGAAAAAAAAATCGAAGAATCCCAAGTTAGAGAAATGAAAATATTTTCAATTATAATAATCAAATAATACTTTTATTTTCAATGATATAAGTTGTATATATATATATGTGACGTTATAGTCAATTTTTTAAAAGACCTTTATAGTTAATTTTGTGAGTTCTCTGATGGACTTAACTATCCTTCCTTTTCTGTAAACACAAATTTTAAATCCACTCTGAGTTATATGCACAGATTTTAACATAAATAATCATGGTTCAGCCAAAATAAAATTGATCCCAAGCATCTTGAGTAATATCTAAGTCAATACTTTTCCTCACAATTGTTACAACTAGTTAAGCATTAAGCTATACATACTGTGCCCAAGAAAATAGGCCAATTCCAAAATTTCCCCAGAAAATGAGAAGAATGGAAGAACAAAATCCCTACATTAATAGTATCAATACTACTTCAGATCACTTACTTCATGCAGTCAGCAAAAAGACTGTCCACTCCAACTGTATGAGCAATAATCAGGCACTCTAATATAGATGCCAACCTTCTGGGAACAGGCTAAAATTGATAGAAAACACCACATGTATTCTGTTTCAACTTACAGAGGCTAAAAGTATTTGGTTCATAAAGATGATCTGATTTATAAACCTAAACTGCAGAAAAAATGTGTGTAATTCAAAGGTCTGGTCTATTAAAATTGAGTATCACTAACAACCTTTAGTTTTCTAGAATAGAATTTGAGCTCTCTCAGCTGTCAGAATGCACACAAGTTTTATTCTAATTTCATTTTGCTTAATTTTATTTATTTAAATTCAATTTATTAACATATAGTGTATTATATTAGTTTCAGAGGCAGAATTTAGTGATTCATCAGTTGCATATAACACCCAGTGCTCATTACATCATGTGCCATCCTTAATGCCCATCACCCAGTTACCCCATCCCCCCACCAACCCCCCTCCAGCAACTCTCAGTTTGTTCCCTATAGTTAAGAGTCTCTTATGGTTTGTCTCCCTGTTTTTGTCTTATTTTTCCTTCCCTTCCCCTATATTCTATCTGTTTTGTTTCTTAAATTCTACATGAGTGAAATCATATGGTATTTGTCTTTCTCTGACTGACTTATTTTGCTTACATTTGGCTTAATTTTTTAAAGCAAAATGGTATAATAATTTCTAGAACATCACATTGCAATGTAACCATATGGTCTAATCTGCTTCCTAAAGTATAAATATAACTCTAAGTACATGTGCAATGGGAGGTCCTACACTGACCTCAGACAAAATGATAGAATTAGATCATAATTATATAACATATTTTTAAAAGCTCATATACAGAAGTAAAGAATTAAAACAAATAAAATGTAGATATAGTGACAACAAGTCACTGCTCTTGGTGTTAAGCCCCTGTGCTACATATTGCCCATATCATTTATTCTCAGGTTTTGGATTCTTTCCTAAGCACATCTATTGCCGATTAGGGTGAATAAAGTTCAACTTCTCTTTTTACACATTCATTTATTGTAATGTGAGGTTTATACACTTAATAAAGATCACTGATCAATTTATGTATATAGTCTCTAAATGTGACCTTCTGAAGATCCCCTGCTCTCAGAGAAGAACAAAAGCTTCTTTAGAATTGGATTTTCAAAATTATGAATTGCTATTAATTTGAGTTTCTAATACTCTTCTCCTGAAGTATTATATTAATGTTTAATAAACTGAATGTAAATATTTTGTTTTGCAAATTAACAATTTGGTTTTTCCCTTTGAGATAACTGGAGGTACTCTAGGTTATTCTAAAATCAGAAATGGCTGTCACTATATAGATTATACAGTGGTAATTCTACCAAGTTAAATAATGTGGTTTTCTGAACCACTTCAGATAACAGTATCAAACTCATGGGAAGAAATTACTGGTATAAACATAAAAACACCCAGAGTCTGAAAAATTGTAAAACTAAAACAAGAGTTAAAAAGTCCAATAATCTAATTTTATTTAGGAATAACCAGCCCTTCACATTGTGATGTCCATTAATTGATGTACAACTTAAGAAAAATTTCCATAAATAATATTAAAATACAAAGTAACTTGGGGCGCCTGGGTGGCTCAGTCCATTAAGCATCTGTCTTCAGCTCAAGTCATGATCCCAGGGTCCTGGGATCAAGCCCCGTGTGGAGCTGCCTGCTCAGTGGGGAGTCTGCTTCTCCCTCTGCCTCTTCCCCTCCCCACTGCTCGCTCTCTCTCTCTCAAATAAATAAAATCTTAAAAAAAAAATACAAAGTAACTTGCTGCTTAAAGCAGAGACTAGCAAACTATACTTTGGGCCAATCTAGCCCACCACTGTTTTTTTGTGAATAAAGTTTTATTTGAACACTGCTATGTGGTTCATTTACATATTGTCTATAGTTGCTTTTGCTCCACAACAGCAGAGCTGAGTAGCTGTGATAGAGAACATATGGCCCACAAAGCCTACAATATTTGCTATCTGGCCTTTTACAGAAAAAGTTTACTGACCACTGGCTTAAGAGGTTAACTTTAGCTATCTGAGAATTTTACTTATATAAAAATGCTAATTCCCAAGTATTTTGTAACAGGATGACTGACCTTTAGTCATTTTCAAAATATGCTTGCAGAACTGGGGATGACATATATTTAAATTACTACCTAAAATATGTTTTTAAAGAGGTGGCAAGGGGCACCTGGATGGCTCAGTCAGTTAAGCGTCTGACTCTTGGTTTCAGCTCAGGTCATGATCTCATAGATTGTAGGACTGAGCCCCAAATGGGGCTCTGCACTCAGCGGGGAGTCTCCTTGAAGATTCTCTTCCTCTGCCCCTCCCCCCACTTTCACACCAGAGAGTGCTCTCTCTCGCTTTCTCTAAAGTAAATAAATAAATCTTAAAAAAAAAAGAGGTGGTAAAAAATATATAATGTAAATCTAACTGTAATTCTATAAGTTAAGTCTAAAAATTTTAACTGTGTAAAAGGTAAAACTGTGAAGTTAATGAAATAACTAAAGCTTGTCAGTAGTTCCAGGGCCAGTTACCCATTACTTTATACCCAAATTTGTATTACTGTGGGGTATGTTATAATAGGCTTACTATATTTAAGTCACTGCCAAGAAACTATGTAATTGAGTTAAAAATTCTATGTTTGTATGTTTATAAAGTTATAGGTTATAAAAAATATGTAAAGCAAAAAGTTTAAAGATCAAGTGATAAAATAAAAAATTATTGTCTCAAATATCTGTTACCACAATAATACAGATGATATTAAAAGAAGCACAATAAATGAAATAAGTTTTCAACAAAGTATACTGACAATCTTTTTAAAATTTCATTTTCTTGTTTTAATGTCAACAAATATGCCCTTTGTGTTTTAAAAATTAAGTGAATTACTGCAAGTAAAATGCAAGAAGCTGCAATAACTATACATACTCCACGGGAGGAAAAGGTGGTGGAGGAGTAGGGGACCCTATTCCAACTGGTCCTGGAATTGAGCTGGATATCCACCAGACCACTCTGAACACCCACAAAATCAGCCTGAGATGTAAGATATACCTGGATCTCTACAAACAGAATATCGCAGGCAGTTGGTTTCGAGGTATGAAGCAGGGAGCCGTGATTCTGCAGGCAGGTATCGGAAGATTAACGGAAGGGGGAGGGAGCTGCTGGGATCCTGCACCACTGGTGCACGACAGCCTCCTGCGCTAGGGACCGGACACAGACTCGCAGACCGGTAGGGGTGGGCAAAGGACTTTAGGGCAGCCCCCTGGACTGAAACCTGGAGCGGCAGGGTGTGCGTGCGAACTGGGGGCAGCTGGTGGTTTTAGACGCACAAAGGGCAGAGACGTGCCTCCGAGCCCCAACCTGGAGGTGAGGACTGGGAGCCCTGCTGAGGGGTGCACAACCCAAGACGCTGGAGTTTTTAGCAGCACAGACAGAAACAGAGACAGTGTGGCCTGGAGAGCTCACTAAAGAACAGACTGAGATCTCTCTGTTCTGAGGCAGAGGGTTGGAAATGGTCTCTTCTGCTCTCTCTGAAGAGAGGCAGAAAGTCACCAGGGAAAGCCACCAGAGAACAAAAACCCCAAAAAACTGGTTTTTCACTGAGCCCATCCCCCGCCCCCACAAGGGGCAGGGCAACTCTGCCCAAACAGGGTTGCCTGAGTAACAGCATGGCAGGCTCCTCCCCTAGAAGACAGGCTGGGAAAACAAGCAACCCTAAGGTCCCTATAAAACAGGTGCATCTGGCTTGGGTTGTGGTCAATAATTTGGACTCTGTACATTCCCTCAACCATCCCTCAACAGAATGACTAGGAGGAGGAACCCCCAAAATAGGAAAGACTCAGAGACTTGACTTCTGCCACAGATTTACAAATTGATACAGATATAAGCAAGATGTCGGAAATGGACTTCAGGGTAACAGTTATAAAGACGATAGATAGAATGGAGAAATCGATTAATGGCAACATAGAGTCTCTAAGAGCAGAGATGAGAGCTGAACTGGCAGAACTTAAAAATGCTACCAAGGACATCCAATCTAATCTAGATACTCTAACAGCTAGGGTAAACGAGGCAGAAGAATGAATTAGTGATCTAGAAGACAAATTGATAGAAAAGAAGGAAAAAGAAGAGGCCTGGGAGAAACAGCTAAAAATCCATGAAAACAGAATTAGAGAAATAAGTGACACCATGAAACATTCCAATGTCAAAATTATTGGGATCCCTGACAGGGTAGAGAGAAAGAGAGGACTAGAAGATATATTTGCACAAATGGTACCTGAGAACTTCCCTAATCTGGGGAATGAAACAAACATTTGTGTCCTAGACGCAGAGAGGACCCCCTCCCAAGATCAAGGAAAACAGGCCAATGCCCCGGCATGTAATAGTAAAACTTGCAAATCTTAAAACCAAGGAAACCATCTGACGGGCAGTTAGGGGGAAGAGATTCCTTATGTCCAGAGGGAGGAACATCAGAATAATGTCAGACCTATCCACAGAGATCTGGCAAGCCAGAAAGGGCTTGCAAGACATATTCAGGGTACTAAATGAGAAGAACATGCAGTCAAGAATACTTTATCTGGCAAGGCTGTCATTTAGAATGGATGGAGAGATGCAGAGCTCCCAAGACCGGCAGAAACTGAAAGGATATGTGACCACTAAGCCGGCCCTGCAAGAAATATTAAGGGGGATTCTATAAAAGGAGAAAGACCCCAAGAGTGATATACAACAGAAATTTACAGACTCAATCTATAGAAACAAAGACTTCACAGGCAATATGATGACAATAAATTCATATCTTTCAATAATCACTCTCAACGTGAATGGCCTAAATGCTCCCATAAAATGGCACAAGGTTGCAGAATGGATAAAAAGACAGGACCCATCCATATGCTGTCTACAAGAGACTCATTTTGAACCTAAAGATACATCCAGACTGAAAGTGAAGGGATGGAGATCCATCTTCCATGACAACGGACCTCAAAAGAAAGCTAGGGTAGCAATTCTTATATCAGACAAATTAGATTTTAAGCTAAAGACTGTAGTTAGAGACAAA